TCAGACCACAAGATCAATATATTGTATCGGCCGTTTTTCCTCTTTGTAAAAAAAGGGTTTCATCTCACTGTCTGTCCGCGAATTGTGTATTATTCTACGACAGTCTAGACTTTTGTTTTGTAATGCGTCAGGCAAACGTAATTTGCATACCAATCGCCGTTGACTGCCACAATGATATTTACAAGATTAGTCTGTCCACATGTTTTTGTATTAAGTATATAACGGGTGGCTGTCTTCAATGCCATCTTAAGAGTGTACCTGAGGGTATATTGTCTTCTGGTAACCACAACCATTTATTACATGGCTTCATATGATCAGCTGACAAATACAAGTGGACACAGAACAAAGGAAACAAAAGATTACCTCACTTACTATTGTTTCCAACCCCAAGCTGTGAACTACTTAACATAACAATATACTCTCAATTAGGCTAAACAATAGACCTTAAAAGTCTATGACATCATCAGTTGTCTTGAATAATTTTGCATGTAATTATAGTCACTGCAATGGGATAGACAGTAAATCTCTACTTGACCAGATTCTATTGTCTATTTCTGGCAATGTACATATTAGAGCTTTTGATCTGTGTCGGCATGATGACACGTCTGGTCACTCAAAGAAAAAGATATTTAATATAAAATACAAAGGAAAATTCTTGCTCGCGGTAGCACGTATAACAGCTCCAGCAAAAGATGCATTTTATATTTGAAGGAAAAAATTATCATTATTGTTTGACCCCACCACTCCACACTGAACAAAGGAAATGAACATAAAGCTCCTGATGAGTGAGTTACTTGTACCTTACGAAATAAGATAAGATTCTAATTCTAAATTACACACATAATAATTTTATCATGTTAATTTTATATCAATTTGAATTGTAATTAATTTGTATATTACTATCTGTTTGTATTTGTTATAGTGTAATACCCCCCCATTCATAATATGTAAACGTATACGTGGTAACAGTATTTAAACAAAATATAGCGTCTAAAATCTGCTGTTGTATTATGATAAAAAGATTCAATGAGTATGTATTTGCACATTTTCTTTAAAAGTATATTTCTTTTCAATGCTAATATGTGTAATTCGTATTTATCTTAGAATGGGGATCATGGACTTCGTGGTCCTCTTGCAGTGTCACATGTGGTGTTGGTAGTCAGACTAGGACAAGACCCTGTCTAATGGAACCTTGTGATGTTGATTCCACTACAGAGAGTCGTGACTGTATGACAATTGAATGTCCACTTGTCGTCGGTAAGACATGACGCATTGAAGATTTTTGAAATCAGTCAAAATAATTGAAAAATATAAACTATATGTCACAATTCATGTGTGAACCAACAATTGGGGGAAAGTATCCACCAACTTCTAGTGTTGTTTCACAATTTACTAAATATATTAGGCTTGTCTAACGTAAACACATCACATATAAATACGGTCACATTTGATCGGGATATGTCAACAAGCAGGATGTTTTTGTGATATGTATTTGTAACGTTGGTTGTTCCCAATGAAACAGTGTTGACATTCACACAATATGACAACTGTGACATCAACCTTGTATTATGACATTTTAATTTTATTATACCGACAAATACGAGGTGACTGTTGGTTAACATTGCGTAAAGTGATTTTATGTTTTATATAAAAATAAATCACTGAGTACCTGTTTGGTCCAAAATTTAATTTCAATATATAATCAATATAAATACATTAAATGATACTGTTAGGTGATAACACAATTAAATTTTATGTTGTTTAAATATTACGCAATCATTGCAGATTACATGTACCTTGGATGTTGGTCGAATGGAGGTGGTGACCCAACATTAACAACATTAGAAGGTACGGGTAATCCTCACCTTGGTGAAAGTTATACTACCAGAGAGGACAAGGCGAGGGTAGGTGTGATGTAATTAATATTTCCATATTCTATCAGGCAACCGGAAGTGATATGTATATATCATACATGTTATGGCAGAATGGTCCGATAGTCAATATATTTGTTACCACTTTGTGTATCATGCAATCTGATTGTTAGTAATTCGTCGTACTATTTTGTGATTTTGTATTTACTGAATTATTATTATTATTGAGTATATATATATATATATATATGTATATATATAGGTGTCGGATTGTGTGGACATAGTGTCATTGATACCGATATAGGCGAGTTAAACATATGTCTAAAATATGTTATTCAGTACTTCTGTTAATACACAACATGTCTTATTACTGGCGCTTAATATAATTACCGGCTATTTGTATATTATGTGGTCTTGCTCTTTTAAATTACTACATACGACTGTTCAGTTATATTTGCTTGAGTATGTCGTTTTTAAATTACTTACACACTGCTATGAATTTGTTTACAGAAATGCGCAAGGGCTGCAGATTTTGTAGCAGCATTGTTTTTTGCTCTTTTCGATGGTGGACAATGTTATACATCATCAGAACCAACACTGTCCAACTCAGATGATTGCTTCGAGGGATTTGGTACAACGAATGCCGTTGATGTGTATTCAGTTTCAGGTGAGTAAGTTGTCATTCATTTGCAAAGCAAATATAATATATAATCACTTTTAGATTTTTGTTAAATACACTGGTCAGTATAGATATTTTTTTCAAATTTCTAATTGTTCTCCACCCACAGGATTTTCATGCAGTTCATCATCACCTCAGATAGACACAGATGGTGTAACAGTGTATTGTCAACTACCTGTCGATGTTCCACCATTTCCCGTTGTTGTTACATGCGATGATGACTATGATTGTGAGGCTGTAGGTTCGATTGCAGATACAGATGTGTCAATTTGCTGTAAAAGTACGCATATTATATCATGATTTTATAAGTCCGTTCTACTAATTACAATTGTATGACAATTAATACGTATGTAAATTAGTAAATAAAATATATCCTGCCAAGCTGTTGTTTCATATGAGCATAAGAAGGTTGCGATATTCACAATCCTGACTAATACTCAAACATAAGTATTAAGTCTGTTTGCAGTGCTGATTTGTTTACCTTGTATTATTATCAGAATGGGGTCCATGGACTACATGGTCTTCTTGTACTGCAACATGTGGAGGTGGTAGTCAGACAAGGACAAGACAATGTCTAAATGAACCGTGTGGTGATACTGTTGAGGAGGTTAGAGATTGCATGACAATTGAATGCCCACTTATTTTCGGTAAGTTGTGGTAGTATTGATGAATTTTAATTATATCTTGTTTTTTGTTTAACATTTATTTTAATGTAAAAATGTTTCTTCTATTCCGGTGGGTTTTAGAATTGCTTCATATGTTGTCATGTTTTTGTTCGAAGATGTATTCTAGCCAAGTTCAGTTATTGGATGTAGTTGTGAATGTGATTTGTGTACAAGTGTTTGAAACCGCATTTTAGACAACATGAATTTTAGTCTTTTAGTAATTGAGCGCGTTTAGAGCGTAAGCTCATTATTTAAGAAATTAAAATTCAATTTCATATTTTTCATATCATATGTTCATATCATAATATTCTTCATAAAATTAATCAATATTACATGCTTATTTTAATTGCATTGTTGCAATGCATTATTGTATGGTATATATTTGTTTATATTTTCTATCGTCATGTATTATTTCATGTTCTTTATCTTTCAAAATTGCTGTTGGAGAGACTGCAGTCGGGTTGACCAGCGGATAGTCAGATGTAATCATTCAATAGACAGCGTAATAAGTAATAACAGCTATAATGAGAATAAACATAAAACATTTATTTTTCTTGTCATCTATCACAATATGCATACATTTACATTTATTACGACACTAATATATTATTCGTGATATAGGAAAACAAGTAAATGAATTGACGTTTGTTTAATTAACTATTTTTCTTCATAGACTATGTCTATCTCGGATGCTGGTCTGATGACAGCACCGATCCACAATTAATAACACTAGAAGACACAGGTAATCCTCATCTACAAGAAAATTTTATCAGCAGGGAGGAAAAGGCTAGGGTGAGTGATTAATATAATACGTGCCATTTATTTGTTTTCATAATTTTTGTTAATTAATGTGATTAGATTTGTATGGTGTTATTCTACTGACACTAAATACAATTATTAGTTTGTTTGTTTTATTAATGCAACATTATTTAATTATCTTTAACACTAAATGATGTGATCCAATCATTTTTTATTCGACTTCCGTTGTCGTATGCTCTCTTATCAGCGGTAAATGAGGACAAACTGCGGAAATTCCAAGTTTAGGCATCCATGATTAGGAATATTCTTATCGTATCCTTTGAATAATTTAGAACTGTTAAATTGTGTTTATTTCCTTCTATTATCCCTTTATTATGTGAAATTATTGACGTATTTAGCCTCTGGTTTGTCGTTATACTAACAGAAATGCGCAAGGGCTGCAGATCATGTTGAAGCATCTTACTTCGCCCTACTTGATGGCGGACAATGTTTTGCATCTTCAGAACCAACAACTACTAGCCTTTCAAATGAATGTGTGGACGGTTTCGGAACGAATATTGGTGCTGATGTTTACTCCGTGTCAGGTATGTGTGTGCTATCGGTTAAAGAATTAAGCTTTATTCAAACATTGATCCTTAAGACCAAAATCAATCACACTATCTTTCGGAACACCTGTTATTTAAATTGTCATAATAACGATTTGATTGACTTCTAGGATTTGCGTGCAGTTCATCATCAGCGCAAACAAACGGGGAAGGTCTTACTGTATACTGTTACTTACCAATAGATGTTCCAACATTTCCATTTCCACTTGAATCATGTGAAGCGGATTATGCCTGTGAGATCGTGGGTGCAATTACGGAGGGTGATATCTCAATTTGCTGTAGAGGTTGGCATTTTTAGACTGATAGCTCGTTCTTACGTGTAACTCGTTCTAACGTGTTATGTTGCAAACAATAGCTTTAGCTTTTGCATGCGTTATTTTGTATGTATCACTGTATATATATGGTGTGTGTGTGTGTGCATGATACACGTGAGTTGAGTAGAACAGTATACTGATACAGAGTATAGAGAATATTTATATACAACAAAAGTTAAGATGGAATATTATTATATTGAGACTGTTTTTTGCGACCGAGTTTGCCTTTATTCATCGCAGAATGGGATATATGGACCGAATGGTCTGAATGTCTTGTGACATGTGGAGGTAGTACACAGACGCGCACTAGATCGTGCATGTTAGATTCGTGTGATGGTCCTTCCGAAGACACCCGAGACTGTATGACAATTGAATGTCCACAGTTTGTTGGTAAGTCGTGTCAAACAAAATACTTATCTTCGTAAAACCAACATAATTCATATATCTTAACCTTGTTTGGTCTACGATTCATCCTTTAAGCGCATTCTTTGAAACATACTTGTACTCTCATTTTCGTTGGCAGTAAAATGTGTGTGATGCTTTAGAGTTGACATTTCAAGTAGCTCATCTCTTGGTTTAAAATTATTGTTTCCAGAGTACTTCTATGTTGGATGTTGGTCAAGTGTTGATATTTTGTTTTCGCTAGAAGGTACCAGCCCCCACTTAGACGGTGCCTTTGGTATCAGGACTGATAGAGGACGGGTAAGTATATACATAATTATTTATGATATTAAAATACCAATTACTTGTGTCTTTAAAGTGCAAACAAAAACAGTACTTTAAAATTAATGGGGCATGGGATGGGGCTGTGAGTGTCAGACATCAAAGAACAGTGGGACCGGCCAACCCACTTTGTTTTTTTTTTCATTTGTACTGATCCTCAAGTGTTCTTTTAACTTGTTTGTGAATCCCAATATTTTACGATACAATGAAAAGAAATCTAATTCATCCTCTGATTGACAATGTATCCTTTCACCATGGAATTGCTTACTCAGCTCACTGTAATTCGATCAAAATTTGTCATTATGAATTTTGGTTTCGCATTGCTTTCATGTCAACAAAACCACACCCATGATGTGTGCTGTGCATGGCGCATGCGTGGAGAAGTAAGGAAAACATAAATGCATACACCACGGAGAATAGACCGTCAGGCGTTCGGCGTGTGAACCACGTTTGTGGTAGTTTGTATCAGATAGTTTAACCTATATCGATTCCTGGTTTGCTTTATTTTATACGTAGAAATGTGCTCGGGCTGCATCTGATGCACATAAAGCTTATTTTGCTCTTAAAGACGGTGGAGAGTGCTACGCATTTTCTGATCTTCCTGGTAGCAGCGATTCAGCAGAATGTGTGCAAGGCTTTGGTACAAACAATGCGATAGATGTATATTCGGTAACTGGTGAGAACATATTGTATATTACATTCTAAAAGTTAGCCAACATTAACAAGGGAATCATTATCTTCAAAAACTACAATCGGATTGATAGAAATTGTAGACACGCCCACGCTCCACGCCACTCACCTAAAGAGTATTTACGTGAATTTACGATGCATACGTCACAATGAATGCATAATAAATATCAGTAATGAGTGATTATTTGATCTTTAAAATATAGAATTGCTATGTAGCACGGGAATACCTAACAGAGATACAGAAGGAAACAACATATATTGCGAACAGCCAGATGGGGTTATGTTTACTGTTGTTGACTCATGTGTAGATGGTTATGCATGTGAACACGTTGGAAAAGAGGCGGGTGTATCAATGTGCTGTTTGGTTGGTAAGTAATTATTCTTATGTGATGAAATCATTTGCGCAGTATTGTTGGCTTTATTTATGAGTAGTCTCTACAAATGAAAAATGACTCTATTTTAGAATTGCCTCTATGAAGTTTTTATATAAAATAGGTTGGACGGAGCTGATTTAAATCTAGTTGAAGCTTATAATTTTTCACATCTTTCTCCATGAGTCGTATTACTAACGTGACCAACACACTTGATAACCATGCCCATATGAAAAATGCATTAATCATTGTACAACCGCAACGTTTGATACAAATTAATTCTGCAAAAATGGCACACAGAATGAACAAATTAAGTTAACGCCCCATTGATTTGTAATTATTTCTTAACAACCACACTCTTTGTAAAAAGAAGTCTCGTAAACGCCACGCACATAACAAACGCCTCTTCAAGTACAAATGAATGATATAAGCACCACGATTACAAAGGAAGCCCTAACGCTACTTAACGTGCAAGTAAACACTGTAGCCCTTCTTTCAGTGCAGTTGAAAACGCTATATTAAAGGCCACTGTACAAATATATTCTGTGGAAGTTACTCTCAGTACAAATTGATAATCCAAATGGATTAATTACTCACACAATGTTCGTATAATATTGGATACATGCTTTCCATTCATATACAGAAAATGTGAGTTGGACAAGCTAAGTTCAGTAATGTAGCAAATTTATAGTAAAACAGAAATGTTGAACGTTAAACAATAATTAAGCATTAGAAAATGTCAGAATGCAATAACTTTGACCAACAGAGTAATTTCTAAAGTAGATGTATATACAGGTACATGTATCACAGTTATCATTTCTTAATCCCGGGGCTACATACAAAGACGAGCACATTAAACAGACTTTCGCTATCAATTTTAAAAATTCATCACATACATGAATATGAAACGGGAAATGTTTTTTTTTTATTTTCATGATGCGTGATATCACCATAAACACACACGGCATAATTGCTGAGAAATAAACAAAGCAGTAACTCACGAACACACCATAAACAAAAACCCATTACAGACGAATCGTTCTCTACACTGGCTAGTATATTAACACATACGGAAACACAGTTTGAATAAAATAAATATAATATCATTATTACAATAGGGTCAGATAACATTTGTATACTTGTATACTGATGTACACACCATTCTACATTGTTTTTTTCCTTCACGCAGATATCGAATGTCCGCCAAATCAAGTATACAATTCGTGTGGGTCAGCTTGCCCTCCAACATGCGATATACCCTTCCCTGTGGGCGAATGTACAGAGCAATGCATTGAAGGATGTTTCTGTGAAGATGGTTTAATCTTAGACATAGGGAACGTGTGTATTCCACAATCAGAGTGTGGGTGTTATGTGATGAACACACTCTATAGGGTACGTGCAATAAATGGAAATTAGTATACCCTTTATTTGGTATTTACTATCACTGGCCAAATGCGAAGTTAAAGGAAGCATGCACTAATAACACTACCATGTTGTGGTAATCACTTCCTCGGCTGGATGTACATTGGATTACGTTGCAGTGGCCATCTTTAATGTAGTTGTATTTTTGTCTCGTAGTGGAAGTGAACTTTTATGTTACAGTGAAATGTTTATAGGCAGGGAAACAAATATAATACACAATTGGTTTTTTGATCAATTTAATTTTTCGAAACATTTTCATTTAGAGCTATTAAATAATGAAATCAGTCATTACAGTTATCCGATCTTTTAATCATACTGTTCGTGTTGTTATTTAACAGTTCAACGAGATATTGCCAAATGGAGAGACGTGCAGCTGCGAGTGTGAGTATGGGGGTATTACTTGCTCTAATTCTTCGAAGGATTGTTTTCATTATTCACGCATGACCAGGTCGACAATTTATTTTGTTTATTTATGTGAAAATTATCATGAAATATTTTATGTATTAGGGCCACAAAAATAATAAATTATCATAAAAATGTTGTTAGATTACCCTTGTATATACACTTAATTAACAATATAAATAGCAATTAGTTTATTTTTGCATGGTGTTAAACACTTTGTATAGAGACCTAGTATTTCAATCATCAAAACCAAGATGTATATTATGTCTATACAAACTTACATATAAAATGACAAATTTCAAGAGGATTCAAAATAATATTTGTCAAGATTATCGTCTACAAATGGTCAATGTGAGTTGGCCATTGGTTATTAGTATTTTTTTAGCTTGAATATTTAAAAAGTAAGGCCAGATCAGTCACATTTTTAAACAGATTAGCTAAAATATGTAAACCCGACTCATTTTCAAAAACTGTAAAATGTTTATCGTTATGTTTTGTATTCTGTAGTCACAAACACTGTGTGTAGTGGATGCCATTTTTATGAGCTGAATACGACTCCAGAAACCTGGTACAATGCCAAAAATATCTGTGAAGATAAGGGTGGACGATTGGCCGTGCTAAATGAGGCTTCCGTTTTTAACCTTGTTCGCCAGTTCATATTCAATAATGGATACGATGATGACGTTAAACACGGGTTTTGGTTTGGACTCAACGATCTTGTGAATGAGAGTGAATTCGTCTGGTCTGACAACACAACCCTATTAGATGGCGACTATACCATGTGGGCTCGTAAACAGCCGAGTGGTGGCATTCGTCCACTTGGGGATCAGGATTGTGTGCAAATGTGGTTAGTAAAACAATAATTTTTGTCCTTGATTCCGCTCCAGGAGCACCCTCAAATATGATATACAAATTATATACCTTACTCTCAAATGGCTGCTGATATCGTTTGAAGAATGAGAGGGCCACAAGACTTATATGGAACAGTTGACACAATAGCGATAGACAATAAAACACTATTTTGATATAGCCATTTAGGAATTAAGGTATTGTTATAATGTCAGGATTATTTTATTTGCAAATACCTATAACTAGCATCTTTCATTACACACTGTATAATGGTATAATGTTTTAACATTTCGACATATTCAGGAAAAAAAGAGCCTTTAGGTGGGATGATACCAATTGTGCAGCCAGGAAAGGATACATTTGCGAATATAGTAAGTAATAAAATCATCATTACCATAAGCAATTTATATACTCAATTTAATTTATAAACAATTTAACGCTACCCAATTTCAAATACTAAACAGTTTCAATTATTTAGGTCAGGATTTCCCGAGTTTAACCCATGCTATCACTGTCGAATTTACACTACTTTATTTTATTAATACCGTACATTCGATATATTTTTGCAGCCGATGGGTGTTTTTAAAACACTGTACAACACTGAAGAGTATACTAATGTGGCGAGTATATTGAGATGTGTACTGGTGGAAGTATTTCCAGTGGCTCGTCATAGAACTATATGATCGAAATGTTTGTCAAAAATATTCAATAAAATTATCAGTTAGCAAAAATTAACAATATTGTTTGCAATTTATATTCAAATTCACTTCCCATTTCATTCACACAAGTGACTTTATTAGATGGTAATGTTTGTGACTGAACCAAGTGTTGAAGCTATAGTAACCCATTTGGGTAAACATTTTAATAGGATGTAAATGACACCGTACGTAAATAATATGTCTTGTATAATACTACGTTACGACAGAGAGAGCGAGAGCTGAATTTTTTTCGAAATAGACCCTATTAGTAGATTCTGACCAGAAAGAAACAATATTCTCACAACGAAAAGAGCCTATAATGTTCGTAGATTTGTAAGAAACTCTGGTTATTTTTCCACTCTGTAATATCTGTACTACTTTTTTAGTTTACAAATACATGGAATAAGTAACAAAGCTGAGTCATTTAAACATTATATCAGTATCAGAAATAATGATAACATGTATTGCATCTCAGGTAAAACATTTGTAAACCGACTACTGAAAACTAAATGCACGAACATCGGAGGCAGACAGCTTGAATGCAACGTATTTATAGACCTCATACAAAAGGCGAAATTCGCTCAAATGAGGGCTCTAAATCGGGATTCTCCTTTTGAGAATGGCCAACTAGGGCGCTTCACTGCACGGTCTCAGGCAACATAAGCTGTAATAAGGTGTATACAGATTCTTCATAACAGCTTTTATCATATACCTTATAGGTTGGATTAAAAGAACTATGGTTGTTTCGATTAACTGGTGTTACATTTTTTTCAGTTATTCATTTTATTTCCGTGGTTCCTGACCAACAATATCTTCGAGCATTCCAGCATTCAGTTAAACTTTCGCAACAATAGTCGATAGTAAGTTTTAGGTAATGTTATCGATGTTTCACAAAGGCGAGTCCAACAACATGAAAGTAAACTTCTGTGCAAATACAAATTTTAACCGTCATTTTCGACTGGTCGTTTCGCGCCCCTCAGGTGTTACATGTAGTGAATAAAATCCCAATAAAAAATAGTTTACAAAATGTTTGACCGTTTCACAACATTCCCAAACTAGAAAATTCCTTCAGGACACATTTTTGATAAATGATAAAATATGTTTTCCACTCTATATAGCTCGAAATTTAATGAGAAATGATCCTGATAAATGATTTAGGTTACAGTCATCTGTTTCTTGATGCATTAATAGCACAATGAGCTTTGGGTTTCAGCTGAAAAATGATTCGATACTTCTAAGTAACTGGTCAAATGACTTTATATTTCCTGACACTTCGGGGATAATACTTTTGATCAACTGCTAAGCTACAATACATTGGCAAGTCGAAAAGCTTATTTATTTAGTTCTGTCTATTACAGTGGAAACGTTTATTTAATATAATTAACTTATTGTTCTTGCCTTAAGATATAGTATTTATTTTGGCAACCAGATTCACCTACAAACAATAATGTTGTACATTGTGGTCAGTACTGAACACCAATAAAAAAGGTGTGAAAATAGAATAAACTCTACAGCAAAACTTGGCCAGTGTTACATCTTTGATGCGGCCTAAAAACTAATCAAACTCGAAATCAATACAGCGAGTGTATTTAAAGCAAGCTGACAGCGACTGTGGCTATTACGCACCAAGTGTGTTTTAATACTAGTAAGGAGAGTTGCAAATATGTCCCTGCACTCCAGTGTAAGCACTTTAATAAAAATAATAATTCTAAATACCAATCAGTAATGTGTAATTTTATAAGGCACAACACACATACCCTTTAGTAGGAATGGGATTGAGAAAGAATAAGAGGAATAGTAGGATATTTAGTGAGTGTGTGAGAGAGAAGGAGCGAGATAAATAGAGTGAGAGGTTGAGTGAGAATGAAAGTGAAATTGAGGGAGAGCTTTAGTGAAAGTGTGAACGATTGAGAGAGAGAGAGAGAGAGAGAGAGAGAGAGAGAGAGAGAGAGAGAGATCTAAATGGTGCAAACAATAATCTTAGTGTTACCAAATACAGTGTCAATTGTAATGTTGGTATTAGTTTCCATTCAAAAATGAAAGGAAAAACCTAAAATGACAATCTCTCGAGGAGCTATAACTCTAAACAATATGTTCAGATTTACTTGGGAGATAAGTGGGGTGGTTGCTATTCATGGAAGAAACAATCAATTAAATGTAACTAAAAACATAGATGTATAGATTGCAATACATTCAGAAATGATTGCATTGTGAAGACAATCATTTTTCATTCATGAAACTGCCAGGATAGATTGCCCACAATGAAATGACTAATTTGTTAAATATTGCTGAAAATGTAGATCTAGTAGCCATAGAAACATAAATTTTATATTTAGAAATTATATTTACATTCGTCACTCAAACATTTAAAAATTGAGTAAATGTTCAACAGGTTTCTTTTTGGAAACAAGTGCGACTAAATGATAAGAGGTGATCGAAATATGAATGTTGCTACTATTTACGATTAATGAATGTTACTGTACGTCACAAAATAAGTAAAAAAAGTTAATTAAAAAAAATCTTGAGATATCGAAAACGGCTTGTACTTCAAACAAAAAAAAACACGCAATTTGGTTTAAGGAGAGTGTTGTTTTACCCCATTCTGTTGGGGTAAACGTTTGTATTAATATACCTAATAAATCTTGAAACAGAAACTGCTACACTAAATCATGGAAATGTCCCATGTCACACTCGTGTTGAACGGAGTGTGGAACAGGAGCTGTGATTGAATTAAATCATGTACGCTATTTTTTATTCTGTACGCTATTATTTAGTCAAGCAGCGTCAGACTTACGAAGAATTAATTTTAGCAAGGACACATGGAAAGAGAGAGAGAATAAAACACAAATAATACATTAGACATTCGCCTATTTGAGCAAAATGTCATCATGTTATCATCTAGCTGCAAGTACAGGTCACAGAAAGATAACATCACCAGGTAGTTCCACAACACTTTAATTGGTTTATATTGGTAGAAAAAAAAATTATCCTACTGGTCAAATTAGTAATAATGCTACTTACAAATCAACAATGGTTAGCAACAATGATTTTCTTGCTAAACGTCAATCATTACCATCACATAAAAAAGCAAGACATGAACGAATTGCCAACTGGTTGGAAATAATCAAGATCAACTTTAACTTTTCATTTTTTCACTATATGCCTCATGATGGGCAAACTTTACAAATGTAGTTTATAAGCTCTTTACTAAGCAAAACATGATTAATTTAAGGTTTAGATGTAGCTTAGTGGGTACGCGCAGTGCTAAACCCTGCATGGCTGTTCGATTACATGATAGACAAGATGAAAATTGTATACATAATTTCAGAAAAGGAGCAGATGAACGAAGCTAATTCACAGAAAAGCATTGAATAGTTACTTAGTAGATTTAATCCAGGACAATATATATATATATATATATACAAAAAACTGAATAAATTGAATGTACATTACCGACATCATCAACAATATTATTGTGCTTTGTGTCTTACTTAAGACTTACCATCTGAACAGTAGTTATATTCGACATGTACTCATAAGTAATGTGACCATATAGGTGACATGCTGCACGTTGAACAGCTCTTCTGGCAAGTCATTTGTAGTTTACATATAAAGTTTCAAGTGAAGGATGTACACATCTAAACAGTAGTTATAATCGACACGCACTCACAATTAATGTAACCATATAGGTGACACGCACTCACAATTAATGTGACCATATATGTGACTTGCTGTACGTCTAACGGTTAGATCGTCTGGCAAGTCATTTGTAGTGTACATATTATAGTTTCAAATGAAGGAAGTACCCATCTAAACAGTAGTCATATTCGACACGTAATCACAAGTAATGTGAACATATAGGTGACTTTCTGCACGTTGAACGGTTAGGTCTTCTGGCAAGTCAGTTGTAGTGTACATATTAAATGTTACAAGTGAAAGATGTACACATCTAAATTGTAGTCATATTCGAAACGTACTCACACGTAATGTGAACATTAAGGTGACTTGCTGCACGTGGAACGGTTAAGCCTTCTGGCAAGTCAGTTGTAGTTACATCACCTCTTGGTTTGTGCCTTGAGGTCCATGTATGTCTCTCACCGATTTGACAGTGTGTTGTTTGTTTTGTTTGTGTGTCCCCTGTGTGTTCTCGGATTTGTAAATATTGCCTTTAACATTGATTGTTTGGATTATAGTTGGGTATTTTTGCTTGGATTTTTACATATTATAGTTTCAAGTGAAGGAAGTACACATCTAAACAGTAGTCATATTCGACACGTACTCACAAGTAATGTGATTATAAAAATGCCTTCCTGCAATTGGAACGGTTGGGTCTTCTGGCAAGTCAGTTGTAGTGTATATATTATAGTTGCAAGTGAAATATGTACACATCTAAATAGTAGTCATATTCGACACGTACTCACAAGTAATGTGAATATTAAGGTGACTTGCTGCATGTGAAATCGAAACGGTTGAGCCTTCTGGAAAGTCAGTTTTAGTGTACATATTATAGTTTCAAATGAAGGAAGTACCCATCTAAACAGTAGTCATATTCGACACGTACTCATCTGTTTGATCTTCTGTTAATAGTTAAGAGAAAAATAAATAATAATGTTCACTGAATTACAGTTAATACAGATACAGTTAACATCACTGGACAACTGAAAAAACAACAGAATCTGATGACAGTAGAATAGGCATACATTTTAAAACCGATAACCATATGTACTACAAAATGACTTGCAAGAGTCACCCAGATATCTGAACAAATGCATTCAATGCCAATGAATATCTAAAGTCTTATGGCCTATGATGATTTGACCTTCTGAAAAGCACAAAATGTATTTCAACTGAACATCAAGTTTATCTTTCTATAACAGTAATACTTTATCGCATTGCGTGTTTTGGCAATAGAATTTCGCCAACACTACATCCATGCGATGCCTACTTTGTATAAAGGTAAACTGCTGCGATTGACTACTGACGTGCAGTATATTGATGAAACGACATATTGCAGTGAATTCAAGCTTAGCATA